AACATCTTACGTAGTTGTTGTCCATCCATTCTTTCCGCGTTGCCATGTAACGGGTGGGTGTTGGTTCTCGTTGCGTTGCACCTCTTGCGTTGCCACGTGGCCAGGGCAACATCCTAGTATTGTTGTTCGTTTCGGTGCGCTGCCACGTGGCGACTGTCATGATGTTTCTGTCAGGCGATGTCGCGTGACGAATACGGCAGGGTGGCATTCATTTTGTTGTCGGCGGCGCTATTCGACGAGTGTGCTCAACGATCGAAAGCGTTCGGCCGATTCGTCTGTTTCCCGTGGGATGCTTGATCATTCATTTGGGGCCTCGGGCGCGCGAACGGACAGTCGCGCGGGCGGGCGGGCGGGCGGTCGCGCGGGCAGGCAAAAAGATCGCGCGAGCTCAGCGGTCGCGCTGGCGGGCAGGCGAGCGGGCGGGCGGGCGCGCGGGCGCGCGGGTTGGCGGGCGGGCGGGCGCACGGGCAGGTGAACCACCAAAGGTGCGGGCGGCGGTCGCGCGGGCGGGTACGCAGGCGGGCGCGTGCGCGAGCGGGTGTGCGGGCGTGCGCGCGGGCTGGCGGGCGGGCGGGCAGGTGGATTGTCGAGGGCGCCAGCGTGCGAGCGCGCGGCGGGGCGCGGGCGGGCGGGCTGGCGGGCGGGCGACACTGGCGGGCGGGTGCGCGAGCGGTCGCGCGGGCAGGCGGGCGGGCGTGCGGGCGCGCGGTTGCGCGAGCGAGCTGATGCGCGGGCGTGCGCTTGCGGGCTCGGTGCGGGCGGGCGAGCGGGCGCGCGCGCTCGCGAATGAGTGCGCAAGCTGTTGCGCGGGCGGGCGATAGGGCGGGCGCGCGGGCAAGCGGCGGGCGTGCGGGCGAACGGGCGGGCGGGCGAGCGGCGGGCGCTCAGGCGGGCGGTTGCGTGGGCGCGCGCGCGCGGGTTGGCGAACGGACGGTCGCCCTGGGTGGCGGGCGCGCCAAATGGCGGGCGGGCGTGCGGACGGGCGCCGGGCGCGCGGGCGGGTGGGCACACGCGGAGGCGGGCGGGCGTGAGGGCAGAGGGCGCCCGGGCTGGCGGGCGGTCGGGCTGGCTGGCAGGCGGGCGCTCGGGCTGGCGGGCGGGCAGGGCGGGCGGGGGGGCTCGCGAGCGAGCGGGCGCGCGGGCGAGCGGGCAACTGGAAGGGCGAGCTCAGGGGTGCGTGGGCGGGCGACCGATCGAGCGCGTGGGGGTGCGGGTGCGCACGCGGGCGCGCGAGCGGTGCGGGTGTGGTCGTCGTCGTCGTCGTCGTCGTCGTCGTCGTCGTCGTCGTCGTCGTCATCGTCGTCGTCGTGGTGGTGGCGGTGATGGTGGTGGTCGTGGTCGTGGTCGTGGTCGTGGTTGTGGTCGTGGTCGCGGTCGTGGTCGTCGTCGTTATCCCCAGGTGCTCGTCCATCCCCCCCGAGGAATCTTCGTGTCATCTTGTCCAGGTTGGCTGGAGTGTGCGTGGTTAGACATGGCCTTTTTGCATGGCCTTCTGGTCCCAGGCAAGGGCGACTACATGTATTCCACACCCGTCTCGCATAGAGAAACATCGCTGCACTCCCCGTTCACCAATCACAAAGACTCCTTGTCGTGAGCGCATGCAGCTATTCGTTCTGGGTTACCTGGGCCAGCCGTGCTGGAGGATGAAGACGAGGAGGGCGATATCGCTTAGTATGGCCATGCGCAGGACGCCGACCGTGACCAGGTTGAGGATGATGACGATGATGGTGATGATGGTGAGGATGGTGATGATGATGATGATGATGATGATGATGATGATGATGATGATGCTGATGATGATGATGATGATGATGATGATGATGATCATGATGATGATCATGATGATGATGATGATGATGATGATGATGATGACGATGATGATGATGATGATGATGATGATGATGATGATGATGATGATCATGATCATGATCATGATGATGATGATGATGATGATGATGATGATGATGATGATGATCATGATGATGATGATGATGATGATGATGATGATGATGATGATGATGATGATGATGATGATGCTGCTGATGAGATGATGCTGACGATGATGCTGATGCTGATGTTGATGCTGCTGATGATGATGATGGTGATGGTGATGGTGATGGTGATGGTGATGGTGATGATGATTGTGATGTTGATGCTGCTGATCATGGCGATGGTGATGTTGGAAAGAGCGTGTTCTCCCGTTGCTGGCGGAAAACCGGGGGGGGTCACTACCGGTTCGAACCCCTCCCCCCCACCCCCTCCGGAAAACCGGGGGGGTCACTACCGGTTCGAACCCCTCCCCCCCCCAGTTCATCATGAAAGGGGGGGGGGGTCACTACCAGTTCGAACCCCCCCCCTCGAACTCGAAAACCGGGGGGGGGTCACTACCGGTTCGAACCCCCCCCCCCCCTCGAAAACCGAGGGGGGGTGCGGACAGTGGTGGGGACGGTGGTGGTGGGGACAGTGGTGAGGGGACAGCGGGACAGTGGTGGGGACAGGGGACAGTGGTGGGGACGGTAGTGGTGGGGACAATGGTGAGGACAATGGTGGGAAAAGTGGGGACAGTGGGACAGTGGTGGGGACGGTGGTGGTGGGGACAGTGGTGTGGGGACAGTGAGAATGTGGTGGAAACAGTAGGACGGTGGAGGGTACAGTGGTGGTGGGGACAGTGGTGAAGGCGGTGGCGAGGACGGCGGTGGGACAATGGGACAGAGGTACAGTGGGGACAGTGGTGGGGACAGTGGGGACAGTGGTGGGAACAGTGGGACAGCTCAGTGGGTCAGCAGAGGAGTCAGTGGGACACTGGGGACAGTGGGGATAGTCGGGCAGTGGTTGGGGCCGTGAAGAAAGTTGGGAGAGTGGAGCCGTGGTGGGAACAGTGGTGGGGACAGCGGGGACAGTGCGACAGTGGTGGTGGCACTGGTGGGGACAGTAGGGGCGGTGGTGGAACCAGTGGGGACAGTGGTGGTGAGGACAGTGGTGCTGGGAACAACAGTGGGGGATGAGGTGAGGACAGTGGTAGGGACCGGGAGTCGTTTGCTGGCGGTGAGAGGGGGGGGAGGGGTTCGAACTGGTAGTGACCCCCCCCTCCAGTTTTCGAGGGGGGGGGGGGTTCGAACCGGTAGTGACCCCCCCGGTTTTCGTGGGGGAGGGGGGGGGGGAGGGGTTAGGGGAGGGGGGGTTTTGCCCGGGGTAAGGGGGGGGGTCCAGCAGGGGGGGGGGGATTTTCGGAGGGGGGGGGGAGACCCCCGGGCTCCGAAGGAAAAGGGCGGCAATTTTCCACAGTAAAGCGGCGGTGGATCACGCTCTCTGATGTTGACGATGATGATTGTGATATGATGATGATGATGATGATGATGATGATGATGATGATGATGATGATGATGATGATGATGATGATGACGATGATGATGATGATGATGCTGGGAGCTGATGCTGATGATGATGCTGATGATGATGATGATGATGATGATGATGATGATGATTCCGATCTTGGGTCATCTTGAATATGCCATGGCCTTTTCTTTACCGTTTTTAATCTGGCGTGTTGGACATTATTCTTTCAGGTTTCAACCAACAGCCAAGAACGCTAAACACACGATTCATGTTTTGCGTTTTTGGCTGTGTTTTTGTTTTAGCGTTTTTAGATCAGTTAGTTGCGTTGTTTAACATTGCCGTCTGCGATATTCTCAGTTCTTCCTCCTGGCGTCCATTCCTCCTCATATTTCTATGATCGTGCTCACTGTTCCTTTTACTTTTCTCTCGCCCTCGCTGCTCGCTGGTCGTGGAAATCCGCGCACTGCGTCGCCGGACGCGCCCTCAGGCTCTCTCAGCCCGATTGTTCGCCGTCCTCGGAGCCCCTCCTGGGGCGTCGGGCCTCCTGGCCCGATGGTCGATTGCCTCTCCTATGGCCATCGGGCCTGTTTCGGGCCAGTGTTAGACAGGTGTTGGAGCGTTTGTCGTTGTTGTTACGCTTTCAGCTCTGAGAGGGACGGCGGCAGAAACGGAACAGCGGGAGTGGCGGCAGCAGGGAAGACAAGGAACAGCCTCCGATCTGAAAACAAAACACGCCAACAAAAATGACGATCCACAGCGACGGACCTAAGGACGCTAAAACAACGGAGCTAATAATGCAAACACACCGTCGCGATGTTTGTTGTGTACAACAGTTCTTTAGCTTGTCAAGAGCCCAGAGTGCAAAGCGGTAAACCACGCCCAATGTATTTTAGCTTTTACTAGGGGGACCAATGTTATGATGATGCTGATGCTGCTGCTGATGCTGGTAACAATGACGATTAGGATGCTGTTGATGATGCTGATTATGATGATGGTGGCGATCATGATGGTGATGTTGAAGATGATGGTACCGACGATGGTGGCGGTGGTTATGACGATGGTGGTGGTGATGATATGCTGGTGATGATGACGACAATGATGATGATGATGCTGATGATGATGATAATGACGATGATGATGATGACGATGACGATGATGACGATGATGATGATGATGATGATGATGATGCTGATACTGATGATGATGATGACGATGATGACAATGATGACGATGATGATGCAGCTGATAATGATGACGATGATGATGATGATGATGATGATGATGATGATGATGATGCTGATGATGATGATGATGATGATGATGATGATGATGATGAGGAATAATGCAACCACCATAATGATTATGATGATGCTGATGCTGATGGTGGTGATGGTGATGCTGCTGATGATGGTGATGATAATGGTGACCATGCTGCTGCTGATTTTGTGACTAGATATCGTCCTGAACGACGTCTTGTATGACGTACGCATTACATTGGCTGACCTTGCCACTCAACTATCAGGTATGATGAGGGGAAGGGCGAGGAGGAAGAGGAAAAGGTAGAGGAAAAGGAAGCAAAGGGGGGCCGACGGGAATGAGATGGCGGGGCGCGCATGGGACGCAATGCGGACGAGAGGGAGATGAGAGGGATATAAAGCAGAACTGGGAGGAGGCAGAGGGTGCGCAGGCCCACCCGACAGTAAGACTTCTACTCCGTAGCCAGGTTGGCTCAAGTTCGGCCCACGCGCGCACAGACCAGAAGTCGTCGGCAGCGCCGCTGCTTCCTCACCCACGCAGCAGAGATGGCACCGATGATGAAGTCCACGGTCATGACCAAGAGCGCCCTCACCGCAGCGCTCGCGGAGGCTTGCGAGGTGAAGAGGGGCGTCATCGGCACGGCCTTGAGCACTCTGGCGAGCATTGCAACGACAGAGGCGAAGAAGAACGGCAAGTTCGTCATCCCGGGCGTTGCGATGATCAAGACCCGCCAGAAGAAGGCCACCAAGGCTGGCAAGCGCGAGATCTTCGGCAAGGTCGTCATGGTGAAGGCGAAACCAGCCAAGACCATCGTCAAGGCTTTCCCCGCGAAGGCCCTCAAGGATGAGTTCTGAGGGCCTCCCAGTCTGAGGCGAGCCCTTCGAAGAGGTTCAGTGTGTGCTCCCCCAGGTGCTCGTCCATCCCTCCCTTCGAGGAGTCGTTGTGTTCTCTTGTTCAGGTTGACTGGCGGTGCGTGGTTATGCATGGCCTTCTTGTCCCAGGACGCTCGGCGAGGGCGACTACATGTATTCCACACCCTTCTCGCAGAGGAAAGCATCGCTGCACCCCCCATGCACCAATCACGAAGACTCCATGTCGTGAGACTATGAGAATAAGGACGCATGGATAAGTACACGTAGTATGACCATGACCATGGCGGTGATGATGACGACAGGCTGATGTTGATGATGCTGATGATGATGATGACGATGCTGATGCTGATGATGATGACGATGGTTATGATGACATGATGATGGTGATGATGCCAATAATGATGACGATGCTGATGATAAGGATTAACTTGTTGATGAATATGTTGATGATGATGATGTGGTTGTTGATGACGAGGAGGATTATGGTGCCACTGATGATGTGGTTATTGTTTATGAAGGTGATGTCGAGGATGACGACGATGACGAATATGCGGCTGCTGCCGGCGATACTGATCGTGATGATGATTCTGATGATGATTGTGGCGATGATGATTACGATGACCATGATGATGCTGACGATTATGATCATGACGATGACGATGGTGATGCCGATGACGATGACGATCACAGTGACGATGGTGGTGATGATGATGCTGCTGATGCTGATGATGATTATGATTATGCTGCTGATTATGATGGTGATGATGATGCTGCTGAATATGATGGTTATGGTGATGGTGATGATGATCATGATGATGACGTCGACGAGGATGCTGCTGATGATGACGATGATGCTGATGATGATAATGATGCTGCTGATGCTGATGCAACTGATGATGATGATGATGATGTTTACGATGCTGATGACGGTGATGAGATGATGATGATGCTGATGATGATGGCGATGATGAGATGCTGATGCTGATGCTGATGCTGATGACGATGACGATGACGATGATGATGATGATGATGATGATGATGATGATGATGATGATGCTGATGATGATGGTGATGATTATTGTTACTACTATTATTATTAGTATTACTATTCTGATGATGCTGCTCATGATGATGATGCTGATCATGCTGATGATGCTGATGATGATGATGATGATGATGATGATGCTGATGCTGATGATGGTGATGGTGATGGTGATGGTGATGGTGATGATGCTGATGATGATGATGATGCTGATGATGATGATGATGCTGATTTTTATTGGTGAACGTCCTGTGTAAGACAAAGACGTTCCCGCATGACATGCGAGTATTGTTCGAATTGTCCCGGAGAGCATTTGCATTGGCGGATAGATACATTGGATGGTTTTGGCGGCCTGCCCTGACCTTGGTCATTTATTTTAGCAACTACGAGGAGGGGGATGAGACGGACGAGCCTGAATCTGAATTTTCCGATTGTCCTTGCTCCCGAACTTGAGTGAAGAGGTGAAGTATGAGGAAGAGGAAATGGAGGAAGAGATGGAGGCGGAGGAGGAGGAGGAGGAGGAGGAGGAGGAGGAGGAGGAGGAGGAGGAGGGAGGGAGGGAGGGAGGAAGGGAGGGAGGGAGGGAGGGAGGGAGGAGGAGGAGGAGAGGAGGAGAGGGAGGAGGAGGAGGAGGAGGAGGAGGAGGAGGAGGAGGAGGAGGAGGAGGAGGAGGAGGAGGAGCTTTCCCCCTCCCACACGGTGGCTGTCGGTCGCTCGGCGGCCGCGCGCGCCGCGCGGCCACCGCTCCGAGGGCCGCGTCCCTGGGGACCGCCCTCTCTCCCTGCGCGTCTGGTGGAGGCGCAGGGAGCGAAGATGACGTGCTGGCCCCGCAGCGCGTCGTCGGTCCGCCCCCGAGATCCTCAGCACCCCGTTGCGGACCCCCAGGGCTGTGGTCACCCTGGGCGCTCGTCGCGGCATGCCTTCCAAGGGGAGCGGCAATATGGCCTGTACTTTGCCCATTCTCTTGCTGGTGCAGGTCTCGGTGTTGCTGGTGCCCGTCGTGCTGGCTGGCTGCGGCCAGGAGTCGGAGCACCCATCGCCGCCGTCGTTGCTCTGGGCTCTCTGTCGAGCCGTTGTCAGTCGGGTCGTGTCCGTCGTGCTGTCGGTCTCGGTGTTCGTCGTGCTGTCCGCCGTGTACGTTGTCGTGCCGTATACTGCCGTCGTCGCATGGAGCGGTATAGTTCGGTGGGCGCGGGCCTTCAAATGCATCACCACGCTGGCCTCCCTCTACCGCCCCCGTAGGCCTTCTCAGGGAGTGCTCGTCCTCCCCTTCGGCGCATTCCATCGGGTATCTGTTGACGTGTCCAAGCTTGTGGCGGTCGTGCTGGGGTCGCAGGTCGTGGTGCTGCTGGTCCGCTCCGAGGGCCGCGTCCCTGGGGACCGCCCTCCCTCCCTCCCCGCGCGCCTTGCTGAGGCGCAGGGAGCGTAGCTGACGTGCTGGTCCCGCAGCGCGTCCGCGGTCCGCCTCCGAGATCCTCAGCACCCCACAGTGGACCTCCAGGGTGCGGGTCACCCTGGCCATCCGCCACGACATGCCTTCCAAGGGCAGCGGCAATAAGGCCAGTGCTCTGCCCATTCTCGTGCTGGTGCATGTGGTCGTGCTGGTCCCGCGGTTGCATGTCTTGTCGGCAAAACGCAGGCGACGAATCGCCAGTCGGGTCGGTACTCACATCCATCCTCGTGGGAGGTGGTGTGGTGCGTTCCCGCTGGCAGTTTTCCGAGCCGGTGTCAGTCTTGTCGTGTCCGTCGTGTTGCAGGTCGACTCGGTGTTCGTCGTGCTGGTCGTGGTGCTGCTGTTTGCCGTTGGGCTGGTCGGTCGTCCCCAGTCTCTGCTGTTGCTCGTGTCGGCGGACCGTAGGCGACGAGGTGCCAGGCGGGTCGGTACTCACTACCATCCTCGTGGGACTCGTGGGAGTTGGCGTGGTGCGTGCCCGCTGGCTGGTTTCCGAGCTGCTGTCGGTCATGTCGGGTTTGTCGTGCCGCAGGTCGTCTCGGCGCTCGTCGTGCTGGTCGTCGTGCTCATCACTGTCGGGAGTGTCAGGTGGGCTGCGCGTAGTGTACGTCACGTCCTGTGGGGTCGTAGCCGATTCCTCCGCAGCTCGCTCGAGCCAGTGCTTAAGCTTGTACTTGATGCTGTTGTACCCAGGCCTCTGTAGACACTCTCCCTGGAGCTTCTCCGAGATGTACTCTGTAGTCGAGGCCCCGCATAGTCTGCAAAACCAGCGCGCCTCTTTGTGTAGGAAGACCATCGGGTGGCTGTCGTGTGCTGCCGTTCCGTGCTGTGTGATGCCTGTGCTGTGACGCAGAGGTGGGCCTTGGCAGCCTTGTTGGAACCAGTGCTGGACCGTGGTGAAGTCGGTGTCGCGGCCGACCCTTTGATAGCAGTGCTTGCATTGCCATCCTCGCCCGCGTCGAGGTCGTCTGAGGTCGTGGGTCGTTGGTGGTCGTCGTCCGATGGGCTGAGGGGGCCCTGGCGCGAAGTAATCTCGTCGACCTCCTCCCAGGTGAGGTGGCTGTTGATGTGAAAGACGTTCACGATGTCTGCTCCGTGTTCTCGCTGTGCGATGGCGTGCCCGATGCGCGTCCAGAGGTCACCGTTGGTGAAGACTTCTGCTGCGCGTTGGAAACGACGGTCTCTCCAGCTCTTGAACACCAGCTTGCTGTCGGTCCAGAAGTGTAGCGGTCCTCGCGTGTGTTGTAGGCAATCGAGTAGTGCCCAGAGTTCTGCTCGGTTGTCTGTCTGTCTCCTGGATGGTAGTGGCCCGGAGGAGGAGGAGGAGGAGGAGGAGGAGGAGGAGGAGGAGGGAGGAGGGAGGAGGAGGGGAGGAGGGAGGAGGGAGGAGGAGAGGAGGAGGGAGGAGGAGGAGGAGGAAGAGGAGGAGGAGGTGGAGGTGGAGGTGGAGGAAGAGCAGGAGGAGGAGGAGGAGGAGGAGGAGGGGTACATAGGAGAAGAGGGATCAGGCGGAGGAGAAGGAGAAGGGGGAGGAGGAGGGATGGCAAGCAGGGTGCGCAGGCCCGCTGGACAGTAGGGCTTTTACTCCGTAATCATTTTGGCCCAGGCCCAAGTTTGGCCCACGCGCTCAGACCAGAAGACATCGGCAGCTCCGCTGCTTCCTCGCCCAAGCAGCAGAGATGGCGCCGATGATGAAGTCCACGGTCATGACCAAGAGCGCCCTCACGGCAGCGCTCGCGGAGGCCTGCGAGGTGAAGAGGGGCGTGATCGGCACGGCCTTGAGCACTCTGGCGAGCATTGCAACGGCAGAGGCGAAGAAGAACGGCAAATTCGTCATCCCGGGCGTTGCGATGATCAAGACCCGCCAAAAGAAGGCCACCAAGGCTGGCAAGCGCGAGATCTTCGGCAAGGTCGTCATGGTGAAGGCGAAGCCGGCCAAGACCATCGTCAAGGCTTTCCCCGCGAAGGCCCTCAAGGATGAGTTCTGAGGTCCTCCCAGTCTGTGGCGAGACCCTGGAGGATGCTCAGCGTGTGCTCCCTCAGGTGCTCGTCCATCCCTCCCTTCGAGGAGTCTTTGTGCCATTATGTCCAGGCTGGCAGGAGGGTGCGTGGTTATGCATGGCCTTCTGGTCCCAGGAAGCTCGGCGAGGGCGACCCTATGTACTCCACACCCGTCTCGCAGAGGAAAGCATCGTTGCACCCCCCATTCGCCAATCACAAGGATTCCATGTCGTGAGCGCAAGCAGCTATTCCTTCTGGGTTACTTGGTGCAGCCATGCCGGAGGATGAGGACGAAGAGGGTGGTATCACTTAGTACGGCCATGACCGTGACCGTGACCGTGATCATGATGATGGTGATGATGCTGATGATGATGCTGATGCTGATGATGATGATGATGCTGATAATGGTGATGATTATGTTGATCATGATGATGATGACGATTACCATGGGGACGCTGAAGATGATGATACTGACGATGGTTGTGATAGTTATGATGATGGTGGTGGTGAGGATGGTGATGTTAATGGTGATGCTCATGGCTGTGATGACGCGGTTACGATGCTGACGATGATGATGAGGATGACGATGACGATGATAATGATGCTGCTGATGATGATTATGATGATGACAACGATGCTGATAATAACGATGATGCTGATGATGATGCTGTTAATGGTGAAGTTGATGATGCTGATGATTTGACGACGACGATGGCGATGACGATGATACTGAATGTGATCCTGATGATG